ATTTTTTTGTTCAACTCAATCTTCTATGTTCACCTTAAAAGAATCTACACAACTTCATTTTTGAGTGATTCGATCTCATCAACCAATAAGGAAAGATGTTTCTGTGAATTGACATGCGTATGCTATTGATTGATAAAATGGTCAGTTCTCTTTTTGTAAATTTGGTTGTTCTTATTTATAATTTCAGTTACTTGGCAACAATTCTCTTTAAGAATGCTGATAGCATCATCATCTTTAATTGAGGAATATGCTTGAAACAGGATTGGACCGATGGACGCTATTTGAGTATAGTGTAATGGTGCTTTCAAAAGGTGTCCTTCGGAATAAGGTACAAATAGAGTGGACTTGACTAGATTTCCCAGGTCTAATTGATGTTGATATATGGTGAATTACGGCAAAGTCGTTGCATCTCCATGACAAGATAGCTTCATCAGATTTTATGAAGTCGCTGCACATTTGGAAATAAACCTTCCAACTTTCTTTGTGTTGAGCAACAGACTCCTTTACATGCCAGCTTTATTTCGTGTCTCATAAATATTGTCTAGGAAATAGAATTCCTATAGACTCTTATTCAATCAGAATGATGCAACTCTTGAGGAAAATGCTGAGAACAAAATTGATAAACCAATTAAGGCTTGTTGACGAAGTCAATTTGCTAAATTTAGAGATTGAAGAACTTTGAACTATCCCCGACACCTGTCTTTGTCCAATAATAATCCACAACTTATTCGACAAGATTATCCAATAGAATAGACAAAAATTTAATGTGTTGGTGTTCAAGTATTGTGTAATCCATCTTATTTGGATGGCAATTGCTACAACTACATAGCTTTTGTAAGTATTTGAGAATTCAATAGATATCATGGATACTATTTATTCTTTGTTTGTTTGAACTTGGATTAATGTCTATCTCGGCATATAACAAAAAAACACGAATTCACTTTCAGATTTGGCTTTCAAAATTAACCCATTTTTTAATTTAAATTGTGTGTCAAAGGCATATTGACTTGATATATAACGAATTTGAGGATAGAAGCTTGTCCTTTTGTTGATCCTAATCTACTGAATTCTGATTGGCAGACACCAGCCCCAAATATTTATGAGAGGTTTGATTTTTTTCTTGAAGCAAACCCTTCTGAAATAATCACCATTATTGGTTTCCATTGTCAAGGATGCCGAAAAATGGCCAAGATTGGCCAAGAGTCGATGACATGGTTCAAAAGATCAGCATTTAGTAGTCTTCATTTCTAGAGCTTCCAAGTAATCTTCTGACCACATTGCTATCAATGGAGATATGGTGGAAAATCAATAAAATATTTTACATATAAAACCAAAACTTCTTTCTATTTTTTAACAACTCATTCTCCAAAAATTTACTATTCAAAAAAATGACCACCAAACAATGACTTACTATATTCCATGTCATATGCCCCGTTAAAAGGTGATTCACCAAAGTGTATGATAGAAAAATAATTAAAGTGACTTACTATATTCCATGTCATTTTTCAAATAAAGTGATTAAG